TTAGAGATATTGAATTATACTTTGAATAAAACTTTTCTTGTGTTTTTTGCTTCTCTTCTTCAAGCACATTAGTTATATTTATCTTTATCTCCCATATTGATTAGCCCCTTTCTAATTGTTCCAATCTTTGTCTTTTTCATCCTGCTTCCATTATTATTATTTCTTTAGTAATGTAGTTTTTACCTGCATTTATCACATCCTTCTACTATTTATTATTAATTCATTAGTTGTGTATTGATATTGTTTTGGTCATCATTTTTTTTTCTTTTAGGAGTACAATATCTCTCTTCAAAATATCATTCTTTAATTTTATCTGAGAGTTATTGATTTACTCACTTATGTTTTCCTTACGATGTTTTATAGTATAAAACAATTGTGAGACATTTTCTTCTGTTGCATTCTTTATAATATATGGCCCTAAATGTATCCTGATATAATTCAATGAGACTAACAAAAGTGAAGAATGTTAATTAATCATTGCAAATTTTAATCCTCTCAGGTCTGAGGCACCACAAATAAGTGATTTTCCCCCTCAGCTCTTGTGAACATGAAGAGGGAATGCATAATACTTTTAAGTAGCTACCTGGCCCTACCAGTTCTGAGATGTCAGTAGGAATCCAGAAAAGACAACCCGAACTCTTGTTTAGTTGAAGGAAACTACTTTAAAGTGTAGCCCTTTTTTCTCCCTAAAATTATAAAATCATTAATCGATCTTACCACAAACTCCTGCAGATAATTCGAATTCTTTCATTGTAATTTTGCCATATCAAATATTGTTTAAAATAAGCAAACAATCAGGAGGGAAGAGCTAGGGGTATCATTTTGACTGCTGAATCTTGTAGATGCAGTTGATTTGTCCTTTGTCCATTCATAATTTTATGGAAGTCAAAGTTAGCAAGGTGTTCAATGAAATCATCTGGAACAGTTACTACCACTGACTGCACCATCAGTCATTTCTAGTACACATTTCCCGAATTGTTTTATGTATATAAATCCAAACACATATTTATTTTTTTAAACATTCACAAATACACATAAGTGGGAACATACTAAAGATACTTTTTTTGTTTTAGAAATCTTTTAATATCAGAACAGAGAGATTTAATTCAATTTCTTTAACAAAAGTGCCATGATTTGGTTACCTTCTCTCTGCAGATAAATTTCACTTTTTCATGCATATATCAACACAGCTGTAATAAGCATCTTTGCTCATATACCTATGTGTGCATACACGAAAGGATGCCTGTATGACAGAGTTCCCAGGATGGATTCATGAAATTCTTTTTAAAAATATTCATTTATTTATTTTAGATATTTTGTCTATTTTTTAGAGAGAGGGGAAGGGAGGGAGAATGAGAGGGAGAGAAACATCATTCAGTTGCCTCTTACACACCCCCAACTGGGGACCTAGCCTGCAACCCAGGCATGTGCCCTGACCGGGATTTGAACCAGCAACTTTTTGGGTCAAAGGTTAGTGCTCAATCCACTGAGCCACACCAACCAGGGCTCAGATTCTTCATGTAGGTTAGATATGACCCATGAGGTATCACTCTGTAGGAGCTACTTCAATTTACCTGTGTCTTTTGAACCCGAGCAACTGAAATTTTAGAGGACTTTATAGCAGTTGGGGTTTTCCTTAACAATGCTTAAAAGTCCCTGAAAATTGTGTTTTTTTCTCCTTTTTATCTCATACTTTTTTTAAAAAAAGTATTTTTGTACTGGAATTATGTAATTAATGAACCAGGTATCATTTATTGAATCTGCTGGACACTTGGTTCACCCAGAAGGGAGTCGCCTCTGCACCTGTGCAGAAGTCTGTTCTGAATATAGGTCTGCTATCCATGGTGTTCTCGGCCACTCTAGGTCCTAAAGTGAGGGGCTGTAATTAAAGACTGAGTTAGAAACGGGCAAGCCTACTTATTGCATGGAAAATAGAGAATGACAGCTTCACCGTGCTTCTCACTGATAATAGCAATATTATTACATTGCGTAGCTCATGCTAGAGACTGAATGCTTGCGTCCTCTCAGAGTCCTCAGGTTGAAATCCTAACCTCCACTGTGATGGTGTGAGGAAGTGGGCCCTCTGGGAGGAGATTAGATCATGAGGGTGGAGCCCTCATGAGTGGGAGTAATGCATTTATGGAGGAGATCCCAGAGAGCTACCAGGTCTCTTCTATCATTTGAGGACACAGTGAAAAGGTAGTTCTCTATGAACCAAGAAAAGGGCTCACACCAGACACTGTATTTGCCAGTACCTTGATCTTGGACTCCCCAGCCTCGAGAACTGTGAGAAATAAATTTGTGTTATTTATAATCCACCCAGTTACAGTATTCTGTTATAGCAGCCTGAATGGATTAAGACAGTGACTAATAAGCAGTCAATAAATGTTAACTAAGTACTTTATAAGCATTATGCTAGCTAAGCCATTACCACAATTCTTTTAGGTAAGGGCTATTAAAATTCCCATCTTATAAATACTCAAGTGTATGTCAATATTAATATAGGTAGTGAATGGCAAAGTTGTAGTTGGAACCCAGGTCCTCTGGTGTAGAGATCAGACGAAGGAAGCATTGCCTTCTACATTAGACATTGTCCCCATGGCATACCCCTGACAGTTCAGCAGCAGTGGCAGGAACTTCTGCATGCACTGACATCACAGTTGCCGCTCAGCAGATTGGAAGTGACTGCAGTCATATTTAATAATTGCAGTGAGCTGGAGCAGGAGAAGAAAACAATGGTTCTAGGAGTGGACCAAGTTGCTTATGGAAAACAATCTCTAGACCCTCCAAGCACAGTTCTGGAGGAATATGAGAAAACTGGAGTTCCCAAAGGCTAAAAGAAACAGATCTGGGGAAATAAAATTTGTGGCTGCCTTTGCCCACAGTTTTACCGTGTGTAAACACATATACGTATGCTGTTACTTAAATGTCAGTAACATATACATATGCTGTTCCTGATATACTTGAAAACCAAGATATTTAGACCATATATGACCACAAAGGTGTGGATGAGAAGGGGTTCTAAGGAATGTAACCTCACAGGGTGAGCAGGGTATAACTCCCTAACTGGGCAGGTCATTGTGGGTAGTCACACCCCAGGCATATAATTTTTTTAGTAAAAGGTTTATCTCTGCCTCAAGCAAGCCCTGTGCATTTTTCTTGCGCATTTAGGTAAACGCAGCTTTGAAATGCCAGAGTAATCCTCTTTTTTCAGACCCCTTGGAAGCAATCACTTTCACTGGGAGCCTCCTATAATTTTGTTAACTGTCCTATAATCCAGTCCCCACCTTGCTTTCTCCCTCCTTCATGTAATCTTCCTTAAATTCTCTTCTTAATTCCAGATGCATGAAATAAACTGTAACTGTCCACGCTTCAAAGCATCTGAGATCTGGATTTCTGGCGATTGTCATCAGTTTGGCAGGAGTATACGCTCATAAAATTTCCCTACAGGTTTGGACATTTGTTATGGTGACAAAAGTGTTAATTCTCAACACTTCCTCAGTAGGGTGTTAGAAAAACCTGTAGCTGAAAGTAAGATAAACAGCTCCAACTCTTCTCTTGGTTGTTCAGCTCTGAATCACCTGCTGATGTTTCGAAACTCTCTTACCAGTACTTTCCTACTTGTATCAGAGACTCATGCCAGGCTGGGAACTTCCTGGTATTTGGCTAAATATAGAAACTGTATAAAATTCTCAGTCTACAACCGTTCAAGGTTCATACTGAAACACTCAGACTTTTCATCTGCATTCTGCTAATTGTTTTAGGTGTTCTTGTTTCTGTTACAGTCAGCTTTGTGTACAGCTTTCTTTTTGCTCCCACTGTGGTCGTGGGAGGGTTTTAGTGATAGCCTGCTTTTGGATGGAGTTCAAAGTGGCCGGCTTTGTGTGGATTCCCCCACTATGTACAAGTAGTTTACTCTGGCGACCTGGGGCATTACTCAATACCATTACCTTACCTCCATCCCTACCTCCTTATTTGTAATTATTCATAGTCCGAAGCAAGAAATACATTTGAATGTGAAGACCGAAATGTTAACAATGAGGATTTGGGGTCGGATTGCTTTAGATTTTAGTCTACCAGGGGTGTCCAACCTATAACTCAGAATGGCTATGAATGTGGCCCAACACAAAATCGTAAATTTACTTAAAACACTGAGATACTTTTGTGATTGATTATGTGTCACAATGTATTTAGTGTGTGGCCCAGGACAACTCTTTTTTAAAAAGATTTTATTTATTTATTTTTAGAGAGGGAAGGGAGGGAGAAAGAGAGAGAGAAACATCAATGTGCAGTTGCTGGGGGCCGTGGCCTGCAACCCAGGCATGTGCCCTGACTGGGAATCGAACCTGCGATACTTTGGTTCGCAGCCCGTGCTCAATCCACTGAGCTACGCCAGCCAGGGCTAGGACAACTCTTCTTGCAGTGTGGTCCAGAGGCAGCAAAAGTTTGGACAGTCTTCTTCCAAGTTCTGTGATCTTGGGCAAGACTCTTAAGTGTTCTAATCCTCAATTTCTTGAGCTGTAAAATGGCAATTAAATGACACCCAGCAACAATTACAAAGGGCTCCTACTTCTCTTTCTCTTACTTGCTTTAAACATTTATAAGGAGAAGAGTTTTCTTTCTGTGTTATTTATTTATTTTTAAAGATCTTTTTTATTTGTGGAAGGTAGTGTTGGTAAATGAAGAATAGAGTAAAAAAATAAAATGGAGTCTCTATGGTGAAGTTGCTCAATTGCTAAAATCAAGGAGGTTGAGGTATGAAGAAAAAATTCTATTCTTGTTTTAAACAACCTAGGAACTTAAATTTCTGGTCTGAATCAGTGCATGGAGATACATCAGACCTCCACATAACCCTCTATTACCTTCAGAAAAGACTGTTCAAGTATCCAGACTACCTGACATCCATTATCCAGACCACTGGTCGTTTAGAGGATTTTCATCTCAGACAAGTCCAGAGGCAAAGAATGCAGGACTTACTCTTCTCAAGAACGTACCGTGGAGTGCTCACTTCGGCAGCATGCATTCTAACACTGGAATGATATGGAGATTAACACGGCCCCAGTGCAAGGATGATATGCAAATTTATGACGTGTTACGCATTACAAAGAAAGAAGAAAGAAAAGAGAAGAAAGAAAGAAGAAAGAAAGAAGGAAGGAAGGAAGGAAGGAAGGAAGGAAGAAAACTGTGGAATAAAAAGGGCTTCTATGGAAAGTAACCTCACAGAGTGATCTGACCATAAACTTCTAATGGGGCAGGTCTTGGTGTTCATCCCCCAGGCGTGTAACTTCAGTTACTCAAAGGCTTATCTTTGCCTTGAGCTAGTCCTGTCCGTTGTTTCTGTGCATCTAAATTAACACACCTTTGCAAAGCCCCCTCTCAGCCCCCTCCTTTTAAAGCATGAGAACACATAATCTTAACTAGCCTGTAATTCAATCCTCACCTTGCTTCCTTCCACCTTCCTGTGATCTTCCTTATGTTTCCTCCTCAATTTCAAATGCATGAAAGAAACTGCAAAATTTATTCTTGCTACCCGGCATATGTTGTCCGTTTGGCTCAAATTAACTCAGAAAAAAAATGTCTACAGGTTTCGACATTTCTTAGTCGACAGTACTTTTTACTCTAATGTTATGAGACTAAAGGGGCCATTTGCCTGTGTGCACCAAAGACCAATAAGACAGGAAAAGGGGGTTTACAGCAGAGAAAGGAAAGGTTTATTTTTAGGAAGTAAGGGTTTGTTTTTAGGAAGTAGCCCATGCCCAGAGATAGGTGAGCTAGTGCTCAGGACCTGGCTCCCCGAAGGCTTCCAGCGGATGGGTTATGTGGGGGGAAAATCATTACTTGTGGTGACTAAGGGAGTTAGGGTTGTGGTCAGGGTCACCTTCTCTACTGACTGTATGGTGCTGGGATGGGCGTAGTTGATCAGTGCATCTCGTCCTGACGTTAGCCCTGGAGTCACTCCGTCTGGTTTCCCACTTTTCCGGGTCTGGAGCGGAAACACCACTGAGGCCTGGATGTTATCTCTGGTTTGACAGAAACTCTGCCCCTGTGGTTAACAGACCCAAGGCTTTGTTCCTACAATTATCTGATGCTGATCAGAACCTTGTTGTCCAGACATGAGTGAACCTGCAAGGGAGAAGCAGGCAGGTGGGTCAAGGTGCTGGACAATCAAAAGGAAAGACAGTAGGAAAGGTCCTCAGGAAATGAAGTTTCTGTGCAGTTACACTAAGAACCTTCAACTTTTTTTCCTTCTTTGGAACACTCTGGATATTTATTGCCTAATGTTGTTTTGGGTATGCGAACCCTAAGACCCTTCAATAAATTTTTATCTTGTATTTCTAGCAAAATCTTGAGACTCTTTTTGAGTTTATTTGATGGAACTAACATTTTAATTTAGGGTTGTAAGGAAAGTTTAGCTTTTCTGAAATTTACAGTTCATGGTGCTCTGTTTACTATCGGCTTCTGATAAAATTAAAAAAAAAATTACATTTGCTCAGAGATTGCACTATTTCAAGTGATTTTTTTCCCTCTCTGGTAATGATTTTTTCAAACATAGAATTTTTAAATGTTTTAGATTTTGAAAAAATTAATAATAATTAGAAATTGACTCAAAAGACAGATGTTGGTGAATTAAGAACAATTTTTTATTGTGTTAAAACATTCATAACCAAATTATCATTTTAGCCATCTTTAAGTGTGTAGGTCAGTGGCAATAAGCACGTTCTCAGTGTTTCGCAGCCATTCCTGCCATTCATTTCTAGAACTTTTTTATCTTCCCCAACTGAGATTCTGTACATATTAGACCATCACTTCCCATTTCCCTCTCTCCCTGTCGACGCAAGGACATCCAAACCTGTGGAGAATTTTAATAAGAGTTTTTTTGAGCCAAACTGATGACAGTTACCGTGGAGAATTTTAATAAGAGTTTATTTGAGCCAAACTGATGACAGTTACTGGGAAGTTAGATGTCAAATGCTCTGGAGAGTGAAACTGTTGCAGCTCTTTTTTAAGCATTTGGAATGAAGGAGGGAAAGTCCGGAGCAGGACATGACGCCGGTAGAAAGCACTACCGGGGCTGGATTCCAGGACCGTTAACAAGACGCTGTGTGGCCTGGAGGTGGGGGAAGCTTTCAGGGGGTTGGAAAAAGAGTCATTCCAAAGGTATGTTAACCTTGATGCACAAAAACAATGCACAGGGCTTGCTTAAGGCAAAAAGACATTTTTTACTAAAATAGTTTGATGCCTGGGGCCTGACTATCTACCATGACTGGCCCAGTTAGAAATGAATGTTCAGATCACCCTGTGAAGTTACTTTCTGTAAACTCCCTTTTTGGCCGCATGCCCATCAACCTAACCCCTGACAACCACCTCGCAGAGATATCTGTAACAGCAGATGTTTTTTAAGGAGAATGGACACAGGATGGTATTTGCACAAGTTGTGGCAGGCCTTTCATTTCTGCCCCCGGTCTGTGTCATTTCTAAACCATCCTAATTGCGTAACAAGGTAAAATGTGTAGTCTCTCTGACTCTATCTTAATACTAGCCTGCACTTTTTTTGCATGGACTTCAAGCAAGTAGTCCCTGCTGGAGTTATGCTAATCCCTAGAGGAATTCTGCTTGAGGCCTGAGTTTTTTGGAAGAACAGCCCCTTGCCAGGGGGTGCCCCTCTCAAGGATGTTGGGAAACATGTACGAAATAAGAATTATTTACAAAAGATTTGCAGGAGATTCAAGACCAGACTCAGATCAGCAGGAGTCAACAGACTGACCAGGGACAGAGAGATTTAAAGATTTTGTGCTCTTCCCTGGATCCCTGCTGGCGCCCCGATTTCTGTGGTGGTCAGTCACTTCTCCTGCCCACTCTCCCGTCCCTTGACATAAAGAAGCCTGAATTCTAGGCTTTCTTAGGATGGGTGTGACAAACCTCCAAGGCCTCTATCTTCTCAAGCTGATGGCTTCTTGATCAACAAACCTTTCCTCACTCCAAACTCTGAGGTCTTGAGTGTTGGCCTTTTGAAGGATTGGGCACATGAGCTTTTGAACTGGTAACACACTGAGATTTTAATATGGCTTTTCTGTGTCCAAGTAAGAAACATCCTAACCCGTAAGAATTTTTGAGTTTATTCGAGCCACACTGACAATTTCATCAGGAAGCAAAATCTGAATAGATTGAGAAAACTCGCCAGAAAAATGGTAGTTTTGCATCTTATTTGATACATTACAATCGAAAGAGAAGACTTAAGGGGGTTACATGAAATCCACTGGTGATAGATTAGGGAGGCGGGAGAAGGCAAAGCAGGGAAACTTCTGGGATTGGATAAAGAGTAAAATGATAGACTCGTACTTCTTTTACACAGGTGGGTAGATATAGTTAACAGGCAACAGTTAGGACAATAGCAACGACAATGAGGGGATTTCTGGTCTCTGCTCTAGTGTGTGGTGCTTGTGCTTTAAGAGGTCTTGAAGAAGAAAAATTGACATTCCAAAGGTAAATGATTGTACATGCAAAGAAACAACATACAGACTCAGTTGCGGTAAAGATGGACTTTTGTCAGGGACCATTCTAGGCTAGCACATGACTACCTTCCATGACCTGCTTTCAGTTAAAAAGTTTTCATTTCAGACCATCCTGTGTGGTTATTTTAGGTCTCTTGAGTTTGTAAGTCTGCCATGCAGGCCTTTGCTGAGCTGGTCAGGTTTAGTGTATGGCCACTTTTTGTCTATGTCTGCGTCAGAATCACAAGAGTGCTCAGTCTGATCAGAGCACCTGGCTCTACAGGGGCCAGGCAGGATGTGAGTCCCTGGTGTGCATTGCCCTGGGACTGGGTGCCTGACAGCAGCCCCATCTTCTCCCGCTGCTTAGAGAAATGAGTCCTAGTCTTGATATCCTGTTTGAGGGTCTGCTCAGCCTCCCACTCTGCCTTTCAAGCAGATTCCAGGGATGCCAGCTGGCTGCACACCTGCCTGCCAATGTCAGGTCAGTTTCTACCCCACCAGGAATTTACCATTCAGCAACACAACCCTATTTCCTCTTGCCCAAATACTGACCTAGTAAAGACATGCTAGATGTCAGTGCTTATCTGTAAATTGAAGCAGGTGAATTAGGTAATCCGAAAAGTATTTTACAGCTTTAAAGTTGTTATTCTCAGTTTAAGACAAACAAACAGTGATCCTGTTGTAATAGGCTAGATAAGATTCTCCTGTAGAGATTTTTTTGTATACTGGTATTTGTCATATTTGGATATAAATACAAATGCTGAAAGTTTTATGTTTGCTTTGAAAGTTCAGCTAATGATCACTAAAACATTAAGGAATTTAGGAGAAAAGATAATCTGTTAGTACAAAGAATTTCATATCCTGAAATTTAATCCTGAAAAAATTGAGTACGCCTAGGGACTTCTGCATGGACTGTGTTGTCTTTTCACAAAATGGTTTTGACTTTCACTCTAATACAGCCTTATTTCAGGTGAAGGCAAGTCCCTGGCTATTTGATAGGGCTATACGCATTTCAAAGCTAGTCAGTATTAAATAATCAGCTTGTAAAAGAAGAGTAAGAGGGTCATTGTGTGTATTTTATTATTGTGTAAACTCAGGAAAACAAACTGAGAGGCTGAGAAAACTCACTCAGATTCTAGCAGATAAGAAAAGTGGCCTGATCAAAATTACAACTAAACTATAGAACAACCATTATTCAGAGGCATCAGAAATTGAGCTGAATGGAAGACCTACAACTACCAAACTGAAGGAGAAACCACATCACGACTGGTAGGAGGGGCAGAGACTTAGAACAGGCTGGTGCCACACTCACATGTGGTGGATAAAAATCAGGAGGGATATCTCAGGAGTGAGGGGTCCTGGCCCTACAGTAAGTCCCCCAGTCCATGGTTCCAGTGCCAGAAAGGTAATTCTCCATAACTTCTAGCTATAAACACCAACAGGGACCGAGGACATTGAAAACAAAAACTTCTGGAACCCCAGTCAGTTCCTCTTAAAGGGCCCATGTACAGATTCTCTCAGACTTATTCTTTTTGAGTTCCAGCACAGGGGCAGCAGATTGAAAAGCATCAGAGACATACAGGGTGAAGCTGAATTGTCCAGCTCCAGGGTA